TGACTAAGAAAAGCGTTAACGTTAATTCAAGTTCCATCAGATGGCATAGCTCTGCCTTGCAGGCGGGGTCATTCTTGTGCAAATAGTCTCTTTCATTCATATTAAATATGTTGTCTATCTCCAGTCTAAATGTGTACATAACTAATTTTGGTGATTGTTACAATACGGTGAGTCAATGTAGATGATGTGACTTCCACGTAAGATCCTATAGATTAGGCAGTTACATGATGTAAAATCTACAATTTTAGGACTCGGTCAATTATTAGAGCAGTACTAATAACAAAGTAAACCGCAGTTCTACAGTCTAACCACATGACTACACTGATTCTAGCCAGTTTATTAGCTATACGGGGATTTGCATGTCATGTAATTTGAGTGGGTGGGTTCGTCTCCAGGCATAAAAAACTCTGTTTACCAGCAGCTATTGCATCGCCAGGCATTAGTTTGGTAAGTTGCAACGTGAAAAGAGTAAAATGATAATTGGAATTAATTGGTAATATGTAAGACGACGGAATTGAAAGAATTGAGAGGGAAACGGAGATGATGATACACTAATGATAACCATAGTGATATATGAGGCATGCAGCTGGTCATACCCTGTTTCTTGTACCTATTCTAACAGTTCTACAATAATGTTATTTGTGTTGTACAATCAATATAGTAGTCATAATACGTGGATACAGCGGAGGTTTACTTCAACTTACGTATTAGCCGTGAGGTCTGGTGTCGACGAAAAACTAGATACCTCGTTCCCCCATCGACACGGATCACCTAGGTTGACAATCTACAAGTTCATTATAGAACCCCATAAAGTTTAAGCCATGGACTAAAAATCTTAATAAAAATAGTCTGTTATTATGACATTTTATGGTCCTGGACGACTGAAACGTCTTTTATGATCCACTACGTTTATATAACAGCGCGCTCACTGAATGTGATCATACGCAAGTGCTTAGTAAGTGAGACATCCTGACCACCTGATTAAAGAGTACCAAAATAGTGCCTTCGAATTGTATAGCTTCAACCTCACATATATTAGGCGGTTATGTTGTGGCTGGCAATCTTGTTTGATGGAAACGTAGATGAGCTCATGTTGAAAGTAATCAGCCATTCGTGATAACCATATTGACGAGGATAAATTATGGTACTCATGTGAGAAGACTTTCTAGTCTACTGATGTATTTATTCTCCTGTGTTAGACTATGGAAGTTTTCGAAACATCTCAAGTTCAACGCGTTCAAAATCATTAGAAGCTACTGTACACTCAGGAATTCATCACGCTCTTCCAATAATACCAGAGATTATTAAGTACGAATAAATTATATCTTAAAAGAGTGTCAAGATAAAACTCCAGACTCGTTTCGCCAACTATATGTATGGAAAAAGACTCACATATAGTTTGTTAAGGAAATAGTTTGCTTCGCAGCAAAAATGCCCATACCGTTACATCCATTCATAAAGAAGGTAATAAGGTTGAGTCTTTTAATTAGAATTCTACCCACTCACTCTCTGAAACTGGGAAAGTTGTGGTAAGAATCATAGGGTAATTCAGAGATTACTCAAATGAAAACATTTTCTTTTTTAGCCTTTCGACACGGGTTACTTCAATACAAATTAAATTAAATGGGTCTGTCGACAAACTTAAATAATTGAACTTTATCAATGGGGCATAATTGTCACGAGTGTATAAAATACAAATATTTCCGAGGCATTTGAAAAGGCCAATCACATGATTGTTTGACTGAAAACGAATTCATTTGGTATTATTAGGTACTTGATTACGAGGCCGAAGAACTAGCTTGTGGACGACAACAGGCTTCTGTGGTTCAATCGGTTCTGTCGTATTGATTCACAACATCAAGCCAAGGACCACTTTTTCTCGAATTGTTTGTCAGTAATTTTCTAAGTTGTTTGCGGAATAATTTGAGACCCAAGGTGAAATCGAAGGTAACAGAGATGTTTTGGGTTGTCAAGAAAGCTTGATTAGAATAAATGGATGAAAAGAAAAATAGAAGTACCTTTCAAATGGTTCAAATGGTTGCGGACGGAATAGAAGAAGCTTTCGCTTAACAGGCTTCCGTGTTTAGTAGCAGTGGATCACCAATACCTCCAGGCAAGAACCTAGGTATATAACGATAAAAGAGAAAGAAAATGAATTGGTAAATCATAGTAGGATACTATCCTTAGTCCTTAAGAATAGATCAAGTCGCCTCTTAAAGAACTCCTGGGAAGTTGCTTGGACTAGCTCAGCTGGCAGCGAGTTCCAGCATTTGACAACTCTTAAGGAGTAGAAATTGTGTCTGCAGTCCGTTCTACTATGTTGTATCTCCAGTTTTTGGGGTGTTACCCCTTAGGTTAGTGTTGGGACTAAGCTTAAGTAGGTTTTTAAGAGGGTGTCCAGGTGTGTTAAGGATACTGTAAGCCATTAGAATGTCACCTCTAAGACGCCTATACTCTAATGTGTAAAGGTCGAGTGATTGGAGGCGCTCATCGTAAGGTTTAAATTTGAGTCCCCGAACTGATTTCGTGGCTCGCCGTTGGATACGCTCCAGAGTGTCCTTATCCTTTTGGAGTGTAGGAGGGAATACTATGTTCCCGTACTCTAAATGGGGACGAATGAAACTATTGAAAATTATGTGGAAAGTTCTCCCGTCAAACTGACCAAAAATGCGCTTCAATGTTACCAGTGCAAGGTTTGCTCTAAAGGCATTTTCGTCACAGTTGGCGTAAGACTTTAAGTCGTAGGGCACTAGAACTCCTAAATCTTTTTCGACTCGGGATACTACTAGAGAGGATTTTCCTAAGTTGTAACTGTAATCTGCGACGTGTCGCAGATGGACTACTTTACACTTTGAAGTGTTAAAGGTAAGTCCGTTGTTGTCTGCCCAACTTTGAAGTCGAGTCAGATCCTCCTGAAGTGCCTGTATGTCCTCTTGGTTGCGTATCTCTCTCCAAAGTTTCACGTCATCGGCAAAGAGCGGAATGTCTGACGTTACCTGTTGAGGAAGATCATTTATATAAATCAGGAAGAGGAGAGGTCCTAGTACTGAGCCCTGGGGGACCCCACTAGAACATTCCATAGCGCGTGAGAAATTGAAGTTTACCCTGACCTTAAAATGTCGATTTGTGAGGTATGAACTGAGCCAGTCAATTAAAGGTGGTTTGATTCCCAATTGTTTGAGCTTGTTAATAAGACATGTGTGGTTAACCCTATCGAAAGCTTTAGAGAAATCAAGGTAAATGATGTCTACCTTCCCCTTGCGATCAACGATGCTTGTCCATCTGTCCACCGCGGTCAGCAGGTTCGTCATACAGGAATAACCCTTCCTGAAACCATGCTGTTGGGGTGAGAAGAAATTTAAGGACAGCAGATAGTCATGTATATCATCGTATACCAGGGACTCCATGATCTTTGAAGGTATAGAGAGAAGGGCCACCGGTCGGTAACTTGAAGGTTCACTGCGTCGACCTCCTTTGAAGATTGGTGTGATATGAGCCAGCTTCCAAATATCCGGTAGTTTGCCCCGACTTAGCGAGTGTGAGAACATCACGCTAAGCGGTGTTGCTAGGATTAAAGCTGCTTCCCTCAGTATAGCAGAGTGGACCATATCTGGACCAGGAGAAGTGTCTGTTCTTAGGTGTTGTAGTTTACGGTACACCAAGTCAGCACTCAGTTTCACTACGGAAAGTCCTGTGCAGTTGCAGACAGAGCCGACATCAGTATAGTTGATGTGGGTCGGCTGAAATGTCCGGGAGTAGTGCTCAGCCAGAAGATCAGCGGCGTCACCGTCATTATCGGTCGGGCCGTTAGGACCTAGCAGTTGAGAAACTCCAGTTTTGGCTTGACGAAGAGAGGCTGCATAACGGAATAAGCTTTTCGGATTGGAAATAAATTTATCCATAAGCTTTAACTGGTACTGAAGCCTGTCTTCTCTTATAGCCTTCGTACATATGTTCCTTATATGTTTGTATTGCCTGTATTTGCCGTTGTTGTTGGTTCGTTTGTATTCTGCCCAACAGTGCCTTTTACGGCTTAGAAAACGAAGAGTGCGTTTTTTGATGATTGTAGGTTGCTTGTGCCTTTTGGGGACCGTTTGAGGAACTGACTGCTTACTAGCACATGAGAGCGTGCGCAGTAAGGAGTCCCAATGAGCATCCACATCAAGTTGAGGGTGAACATCCCAATCCACCTGTTGTAGATAATCCTGTAGAGCTGACGTATTCAACCGTTTGAAGTTCCAGCGCCTGTTGTTGTCGGGATATCTTAGCTCTGTTTTGCTGACGAAACTGAAGGCTATAACGGTGTGATCGCTCTTCCCCAGGGGAGCCAGGAACGTTGGTCAGCTCACCAAGAACCGAACTCATACCCCTTGGCGTCTAAAAAGGTATGACGCCCCATAACACTCGTAATCCTCTGTCATAATAGTTTTCTATTATATTTCAATTTCAGTTTCAAGAACTGAGACAACATTAAGGAGAAGAACACGGAAGAGTAGGCGTAAAAATAAAATATAAATATCACGTGATCACTAGTTACACCACGGAGTTCACACAAGAAGGTGATAGTGAAAGGCGACCTCGTTATTTCTTTCCGAAGGAGATTTGATATTTATCACAGTTCTAATAGTGATGAGGCAGATTACTAAGGTGATTTTTCCCGAAGCACTTAATAACCAATATTTTACTCCTTGTGAGCACTTGGAGTATCAATGGAACAATCCTCAAGGAAAGATTTCGAGAAAATAATAATTATTAAATTTTACCTTGAAAAGTTTAAAAGGTCAATGTTAGCTAAATTAGTAATATTGCATTCTAGACGGCCTTAGAGTCCCGTTCAAACGTATACGTAACGGTGAGTTTGATTTCCCGACTGCTTCGTCTAATTTGTTTTGTTGTGATTGTCCATATGCCTTTCAGATTGTCGTCTTCGTAGACAAAATTCATACTCAGCTCAGGCTTTGACGTATAACAGCTATATTGTTTTCCAAAAATCAAACTTAATGTGTAGCAGTAGAATTGTAGTCCCTGGGGACCTTATATCTTCTTTAGATGTCAATAAGAAAAGTGGGCCATCGACGTACTGTTGCTCGGGGAATATATTGTCAAGTGCATTTGGATATGTCAAGGAGGAATCACATACGGACGGATCAGTATGTTTATCCATTAATTCGTAGCTAATGTTAGAAAACATTTTCAGTTGTGCCGTTGAAAACTTCTGGCATAGTTCCTTACACTGGGTCAATTGTATTGGCCAAAGTAAGTTGGTATGGCTTGCCTTTCACGGCTTTTTTTGTTTGCAATGCATTCTAACCATACAACCAGCTAAGTGGTAATACAAGTTGCATATATATTTCCCTGTCCGTTAATTAATCTTGTATATGTATTTCAAGGTAAAAATACTGTTTGCATATAGTTCCTGTTCTCTTACAGTAGAAGCTAAGATGCCTTTACCAATTAGAATTTGTCTTCTATCGCTCTTGCCAGTTTCATTCTTTACCCCGGAGAAATGGATTGGTCGAGTCGCTCAACTTTCCACCGCCGATTCAAGCCTTACTATGCTTCAATCTATAAAACTGAGTGCTACCACTAAATCACAGGGTCTCAAAACCAATGGACTAAATTTGGACCTTGTTACTAAGTTATATAAAATTATTATTACATTTAATTGGCCATAAATACATTACAAACGTTTTCATTGAACATTCTATGGTTTCATATACTGATGCTACATTCTTTATCCTTCTCCCATTCATAATATGCTTGGTTAGGTTGTATATCAGTTTGTGTAGTGGTTATTACCATCCCTTAGTTTTCAGCATATTCACAGTATCAACAACTAATTTATCTTCATTGAAAGATTTAAATCCATGATCAAAAGGACGATAAAATAGATAATTATTTGTTTTCTTCTTTTTGAAAACATTGAAAGCCCTCAACCTCTTTAATTAAGCTTTACTTTTCATCATAGGTTTCTAGTATTACACGAAGATTTGTTCGCTGCGATATCGTCGCGATTGGAGAAGTTTACCTTGCTGGACCATTCAAAGGTCTCATAAGACGTGAGGATATTCGTGCTACGCAACGCGATCAAGCAGAACCAGGCTGCTGTTTTAGACCAGGTGATATTGTTCGAGCTCGTGTTATTAATCTCTTGGGTCCTGGAACATATACCAACACTGGTTCCTTTATATCAAGCACTTCACCACAGACGTTATCCACTTTGTTAACTACTCAGGCTATATCTTGTTCAGTGGCCGCCACCAACGATGCAAACATAAGTGGCTCCAATTCTGTTTGTCTTCTATCTACTGCTGAGCCTGATTTAGGCGTGGTCCTTGGTCTTGGAAGGTCTCCTGATAACAGCTTTCTCGAACTTCTTGGTAGTACAAGTGGCTCTCCCCTTGTTCCTGTTGGATGGACTGAGATGCTATGTCCTCACACACTTACTAGGTACCCTCGAAAAGTTGCTCGTGTGCCAGATGAACTTATTACTCAGTTGATTTGTGCTCAAATTGAATAAATTATTTTATATAAAATTTGTTCTGCTTATATGTATAATTTTATTTGTTAATTTCTCAAATTGTTGGTTCATAATACAGCTCTTAGACTTTTCGGAAAATCCATTATCTTACTCTTAATGAGAAACACACTAGAAATATTTATGCGCTATCCATTTATGTCTTGCTTTTGTCTGAGGTGGATATTTCTTGTATTACTAAACCCTGGGACTTTCAAACGATCAAATTCATTGTTCTATTAATTGCTCGCAAACCGGGGTAACTTGATGAAATATTTACAAAAGTACTGCTTGTTAGTTGTCTATTGTGGCAATAATTATCGGTCTTCAGTAGATAAATAATACATTAGTCTAATCATGAACAGACGCTACAGTGTAGATCCTGAATCGAAGTAATATCAGTCTAAATTGCTATATCTTGCAACTATACATATAAAACCGACTCAAGAACATGAGGACAAGCAAGAGAAGTTGTATCCATTCACCCTAGCTACTACAGTTCTAAGTGTGGAGTGCGTTTAATCATTTTCGGGAATATCACAAGTTTGTTGGTTATCCAAATGATTTCAAGACTTCTGAATTTATTGTCTTTTATCAATAAATATTGATGACATAGGTTTCAGCATACAAGTTATGGAAACAGTAATAATTGACTCTGGACAAGTAGTCAGTCAAGTGATATTTTTGCTTTAAATGACCACTTTTTAAATAATAAACTATGATTGGCTATTTTCGTTTCATCATACTTATATTTAAGGTTTGAAATAAGCGACAATGTTTTAAAACGTTTCCATAGGTTCTCAATCTGTTTCTAATCCCGTGGTGTCTCAAGTTATTACACTGATAGTGTAGAATTATGATATTTGCTTCATTTTGTTTGTTGGTTCATCTTTTCATACTTTCCAATCTCGATGAAATATCACTGGGCTTTTTGTGGAGCTTTTGCGAGTAATTCTTAAAGTTATCAAAAAAATTGACATTTCCAGTTAAATATTCCATATTCTTGTTGTGCTAATGAGGTGTGGCAACTTGGACCGATGCATATGTGTGCCTGGTCCTACGTTGTAGCTGACTGACGTAGTAGTTCGTTTGAATATTTTTCTCTCATAAACCGACAGTATCGCTGGTAAGCATGACACTTTGTGGTCTGTTGGTAATGTGCGTACATGTAATACGTGGGATGGAAGGTGAATTAAAGCCGAATAATCGCAAAGTTATAAGTGTTGTGTGATGGCTGCTTGTTCCCAGTCTTAGTATTAGCTTCCAAATTCCTTGCACACCAAGTCTTCCATTTTTTATTCCATAAATACGATTTATCCCTTTAAATTAACTTATTTTTATCTTCGTACATCTTTTTAATTTTCTGAACGTTTATCAGCTCATGTCACTCCTCGTCTACCAAGTTCTCGTCTAAATTCTACAATGTATGTGCTATTTCTATGAAATGTTTCTTAAATTGAACAAATAGTTTAAGAATGGATTGTGCTTGTTTGTAGTCTTTGACTCGAATTTGTATTGATTTTAAACAATAGGTTGGTTTAATTACATTTTGAAATAAAACTCCGATATTTATAAAGTAAATGAATAAGTTTTATCCCTCGAATGTTTCTGTTGTCCTGTTAATAATTATGAAAGTAACTAAATGTAGTTGAAAAGCTATTGCATGTTGAGTACAAATTTCCACTAATAATAAGTAAATTTACCGAAATATAACAATTTAGATATGTTGTGTGGAATAATTTCGACTTTTTAGTCGTCACATTAACTTGAGTTTATGGTTGTACACTTAAGTCAAACGCAAAAGTTTTTACTTGAAAGTCAACTAACTTATTAGCAAAATGGTGACATATGTAAACCAACTAACATTTTAGATCTTGTTTACAGGCCGGAGTTCGAACCACGGAACTAGCCGCAATCCTCTGTGCTACCTTTGAAAATGTCCAGGGGACTGTGATCGCCTATCAGTATCCACACAACTATGTATCCCCGGTATGTTTTTTGTTTAATTTTATATGTTATCCAGTATTTTAAAATTTATTTTCAGTTCTCAAAAGTTTGCAGGTTTTGATGCAAGCCTAAATGGCTTGTCATCTATTTATTTATTTATTTGAACACATAAATATTGGTACAAGAGGACACCAAATATATATGTGCCACACAAAACAATGAGAATTTAAAGAGTAGGGGAAAAAAGTAAGGAACGTAGGGGATTATTAAAAAAAATAATGGGGGGAGACGAAAAGGTGCAAAGCACATGCCATACCTACGGACATTGATATAGACGATAAATCGCAGCGTGAACAGAGTGTGCTTTGCACCGTCGAAGTGCAAAGTACTTCTACAAGACTGGCAGGATTTTAATCCTTTACTCACTCTGGATGGTGAGCAGATAGAAGTAGTCGAGAAGTTCATGTATCTAGGTAGCTGCATTAGTGCTGGTGGTGGCGTGAGTGATGAGATCAATGCACGTATAGTGAAAGCCAGAGCGGCTTATGCCAATCTCGGCCATCTTTGGCGCCTTCGTGATGTTAGTCTGGCTGTGAAAGGTCGGATCTACAACGCATCGGTGAGAGCAGTTCTGCTCTATGCCTGTGAAACCTGGCCTCTCCGAGTTGAGGATGTTAGACGACTCTCTGTGTTTGATCATCGTTGTCTCCGGAGTGCTGGCATCCAGTGGCAACACTATGTCAGTAATGCAAAGGTTCGGCATCGAGTGTTCGGGCACAGAGACGATAATGCAATTGGTGTCACCATCTTGAAACACCGACTTCGGTGGCTTGGACATGTTCTACGAATGTCGTCCCAGAGAATTCCACGTCGTGCAATATTTGCCGACCCTGGGACTGGTTGGAAAAAGCGGAGAGGTGGTCAGTGTATGACATGGTGTCATGGTATGAAAGAAAGCTGCAAAGGGATAGCTTTTGTTGGTCCTTCACGACTCCCTGGCTGGGGTCCGAGAGACGGTGTAACACAGTGGCTAGAAACGTTATCAGATATGGCTCAGAATAGAAGCCAGTGGCGATCCTGCTGTAACGTTCTTTTACTTTCTTCATAAAAAGTGGCTGTATCCTCCTTAAATGTAAGATTTCTTTTGATTGTACCTTTTCGTCTCCCCCCATTATTTTTTTTTATAATCCCCTACGTTCCTTACTTTTTTCCCCTACTCTTTAAATTCTCATTGTTTTGTGTGGCGCATATATATTTGGTGTCCTTTTGTACCAATATATATGTGTTCGAATAAATAAATAAATAAATATGGACATTGATTGACAACTGATTAAGTGCGGATTGCATTGCTTGGGCATTATCGCACAGTAAGACAATATCATCCGCATACTCAAAGTCGAGAAGTCTTTCTCCAGGCAACAGATCCACACCACCATTACTTACATCCATCAGAGCTGTTTCCAGAATGTCATTGATGGCAAAGTTGAAGAGGAATAGTGAGATTGGGCAACCCTGTCTAACCCCGCTGCTCGAATGGAATAATGGAGAGAGGTGGTTGTATGCCCTCACTCTGCCTGAGGTGTTTGTATATAACCTGCTTCGGTTTGGGCACCCGGGCAGTATCACAGCCCTCACACATATCAAATGAGATCTGTGTGGCGCATATGTATTTGGTGCCTTCTTGTACCGATATCTATGTGTTAAAATAATAATAATAATTTGTATATAAAGCTTTTAGGATGTTAATAAACTTCTCAGACACACCCTTCTTCAATAAACAATCCCAGAGAACAGTCCTGTCCAACGAATCGAAGGCAGCCGTGATGTCAAGAAACACTATGATTGTTGGCTTTTGATAAGTATGACGGTGTTCTAACATTTGGCGGAGGGTGAAGATATGATCAATACATCGTCGAGCAGAACGAAAACCAGCCTGCTCCTCGCGAGTCAATCTTTCTCGAGTTTTGAACAACCTACGAAGTATGACGGAAGCCAGTGGTTTGGACGCATTCAGAAGTAGACTTATTCCCCAATAGTTGTTACAGAAACGACGTGAACCCTTTTTAAAGATAGGGACAACTATCGACTCATTCCATGATGTTAGTACACTCTCTGGCTCCCAGACCTTTGTAGACAACGTCGTCAGTTCCTTAGTCAGGAAGTCACCATCATTTTTAAAAAGAGCCGGAGGTAAGTCGTCTGGGCCCGGTGATTTGTAACGTTTCAAGAGTTGAAGTTCCTTGCGGACTTCCGCCTCATTTGATGGATCAGTCGTCACCGGCCATGGAGGGCAGGAAAGTCTGACCGATGTTGCCGGAGCAGCAGGCCAGTTGAACTGAACTGCCCTTCAAAAAATTCTGCCCATCGTCCAAGACGTCGATGGATGTTAGTGATTGGCGTTCCGTCAACCTCGCAGATTGTTTCACTCACACCAGACTTCTTGCTGCCAGTGGCTCGGATGAATTGGAAGAGCTTCCGGTAATCACCAGATGCAGCTGCTGCTTCCAGCTCGTTAGCACGCTCCGACCACCAGGTTTCTCGGTCCTTACGCAAGCTTTGCCCGATTTCATTATGTAACATCCTTGGTTTGTGGTCAAACTCACGGTCAACCGGAGTAGACCGACAGGCTTCAATGAGTTGTAAGGAACCAGAAGAAACCCAGAGCTTATAAGCGGGACGTTTCGCGAACCCACAACAGACTGTACCCGCCATTTTCATGGCGTCATGCAATTGCAACCAATGCTCATCTACACTTTTCGGTGGGATGGTAGCTAGTTCAAAAGCTTGCTCGGTTCGATACTTACTAGCAACAGAAGTTGCAACCAACTTGCTAACATCAGTCCTTTGGTGGCGGTCACTTCGTTAGCCACTGAAAAGTAAGGTAAGATTGGCGCAGACCAGGGCATGATCAGGTTCCAGATAGGTACTCCAAAAGGAGCGGCAATCTTGTACACAACCATGCCAGCGGTAGCTGATCGCGATTTGATCAATCTGGGTCCAGGCTAGACGCCTGACCTGAGCATTCAAGTCTCCAGCTAGTACTACAATATCTGTCGAACTCACTTTCTGGAGGAGAACAGTTAACTGGTGGTAGAACTCATCCTTGATTGCATCCGGGCTGCAATCTGTCGGGGCATAGGCACCGATTGCTTATCACTTTGATGGAACTGTCTAATCTAACAGCACATAACCGATTGTTAATGGGGATCCAATCGATTAGTGCTGCCTCAGCCCTAGCGCTTAGTGCGACACTAACGCCAGCAAGACCAGACAAAGATGCCACAGGGTCCCCGGATAAACGCACGTAAAACAAGCTTTTTGAAGAGACAGATGGAGAGCGCATTTGTAGTACTTCACCAGAGTCTTGAATACGGGTATCGGATAGACAACAAACGTCAATATTAAGACTTTCCAAAGACATAGCCAACCCTATCTGTTGTCCGACCTGCATAAGTGTGCGAATGTTGAAGGCAGCTAGTTTAAATGGTGCACGTGGTTTCAGAAAAACTGCTTCACTACTCGTATTCGCTGGTAACATACAATTTTCAACCAGGCAGTGACTCGAGAACGTTTAGATAGAGCCGAATTCCCATCATAGGCGAGCTGCTGTATAAGTCGAAAAATAAGGATAGACAGAGTGGAAATAAAAGAGGGTGAATAAATGACGTAGTAAATAATAATAATAATAATAACAATAATAGTAATAATAATGTGAGTTATTTGATTATTATTCGGAGCAAGAAGAATATTTTCCATAAGTATACAGTTCATCATTTCATTTTTTTGTGTGCGGGCTGTGATACTGCCCGGATGCCCAGACTGAAGCAGGTGGTTTTCTTAGGGAGCCACACCCCGAGCCTTTAACCTGAAGGTTTAACCCACAAGGCAATGGAGCATCGTGAGGAGATGCAGTCCCATGGACGCCGGTGACCAAGAAATTGGTTCATACGCCATTTGTTCCCGCAGGATACTGGAGCCCATATGCACCATTGGTTTGGAATTCGGTTATAGCGCCGGACATTCGCTTTTCGTCCTCTCATTTTCGTGAACAACACCCGCGCCACGAGAAGGCAGTGAGTAGGACTTCCCTGGCAGAGGCTGTATACGCGTGGCCGTGTGAGAGTATTTCGAGAGGGAGGGCGAACCCACCCCACTCTCGGCCATACCAGGGGATTTGGGTGCGCTTGTCGTTTAACCTTATCAGTTTAGTGGAGAAATCAACTTTGCTGGTTACGTTTCACTAAGAAGCTTGTTTTTTCAAAATGTCAATCTTTGCATCATACTTCGAAAGAGTTATAACCAAGATGTTTTTTATTTGTGGTTCAAAAAGCTGCGTATAACAATATACCAACCAATGGGGCACACATCGTCAAAATACTGTATTATGAAAGAAAGAAATTGTCAAATAAATAACAACTATATTTTGACGAATATAATTAAAATAAAACAACTATTACTTCTTGATAGACATATATCTTACTTTTTGTGGAGAATGTAGTAAAAGATTACATCAATATCGCTACTAGTTCCTATTTTGAGATGTCTGGTTACATCCTATACCAGTGAGTTGTATAACATTTGGTACACCATTCGTAGAAGTTTAATGGGCTATCCATGGTTCCACGGCTCTATGTTATAGTTTGTCCACATTTTTTCTTCCGTCTAGTCTCATTGTCAGTGAAGATCACTAAATAAAAAAGCTACTAGGTCGTCATCCGTAGAACGTAGCTACACCGCTATACGTGAGTATGAGCTGCTTGACATCAACATCAGTTACACTATATTGAAACTAGATATGAGCAATTCTATGGAGAGGTCTGAAAAATTATTAAAGACTCCTAACCCCGGCATCCAAGACAAATCGAAAGTGTGGAGTTAAATGGTTATATTGTGTTCCTTTTTGTGCAGTGTTCTGTGTAATGCGAAAATAAATAAGATAGTAAACGGCAAACTTCTTTGTAGCCTAAGCAACAGAATTTATCCCTTTGTGGTCTTTTTCATCTATTGACAACATGGAGTAACCATGAAAAGTTAAGTTATACGGAGCGAGATATTTCGTATTTAGACATCTTGACTTATAGGACTTTCTGAGCAAACATCAATAGCACTTTATTCACCTATGTGCCTATCTCATTCGTTAGACGTACCTCTTATTACTATATTAGATGGTTATTTTCTTGCAGTCAAGAATCTTCTTACTAGTGTTTACAGTGGTTGACCTATAACACACTTCCACTTTCTCATTTGTTTTTTACAGACCCAATTTAAGGAGATTGGCAACGCTGTTATCCCACGAGCTGAATTAGCTTTTCGGTTAGTGACAATAGAGGCTTTTAGACACTATGTGATTGGCTGCTTGCAACGCATTGAAGGTGTCCAGTATAAGAGAAATACATTGCAGTTCAATATATGTCTTGTCATTAAGCCGAAAGCAACTGCTAATCGGGATGATATATCACACTGGCAGTTCTGGGACGATTATTCAGCCGGCGGTTTGAGACCTAACGTACAAGCAGCTTACGAGGCATTAACACTAAAGATTAATAGATATTTTTATGCTTTAGAAGAACAATGTGGATTTCTGTCTCGTTCATTAGGACACCATGAAGGTGTAGAAAAGTGCGTAAAATTACTCCGCCTTAAATCAATATACAAACAATTACATGAATCCGGAATGTGTATTCTTTCGTTTCCCAATAGTGGCTCTTTATACTTACGGGTATGTTTTATTGATCCTATCAATGTCTTCAAAATTATTTCTCAAATGTTATGTATGCAACTAACAATCTTCTCGATGCCAGAATTTGTCTCTTTGAAATAGCAGAAGCAAAATATTAAACAGATAACCATGATAGTAATGCGCCAAGATCATTCCTGTCACTTGACAGTCATGTGAAGCTAAGCTAATCTGGTATTTGAAAATAGCGCCAACTATTTCACTAATCTAATATAGACCGTGGTGATATATACATAGTTTAAACTTTGGTATTATTTAGTCAAAATTAGATAACTTCCAATAAATTCAGTACACTGTTTGTGTACTGACATGAATTGTAATCAGAGAAATGGAACTCATACACATACAGAAGGTCGGATGATGAATTTGTAGTTGATGTTCATCGTTTATAAATGTTGTTTGACTTTTTCTTAATCATTATCTTTTGAGGAAGTAAGTGTGATATTTAAACTTGACACGATTTTGAGTTTAATTATTAACAAGAATTGATTTCTTCGAAATATTTTCCACTTCATTAAGTTAAATATTTTAGATTTCTTTATATAGTTACACTTTTTTTCTACTAGTTTAGTCCTAGACAGGATCACGGGTCTTATAGCAATTTGTCATTCGATATGTTTGAACTGGTGTCTGAGGCGATTCTAAAAGATAATAATGTTGATGATAATGATTGGGGATTAGAATTTGGTCAAAAAATCCGACAGTTCAATCTTCACCATAATAATCAAGTTTTTTTTCCTAATTTCAATCCTCAAAGTGAATCAGAGATTACGGATAATTGTGTGTTTGTTTTAATCGCTTCTCCAACTTATCATCGTCAATCTAAAATGGGTTACAATTTGAATGGTGGTTGGAGACCATTGGATGCTGTGGCTCAACGTGTTTTACCTTATATCAACGGTAGACGACGTTTAATTGAATTGGCTCAGTTAGCTCAATTGGATGTGGCTATAGCTCGTCTATGTTTAATTGAGCTTGCTCGATTAGGATTAGTTCGTGCCTTACCATATCCTACATTTATAATGCAACTTCTTCAAGCTGATAAATTTTCCAATTCAACACTTATTCCTGGATGGTTAGGTTTACCACGACTGGCCACTCTACTTGCAGACTCCTCTCTTAGCAAAATGTGCTTGGAAACTGTGGTAAGTATTTCACTTGCTTTTTTCTTTTTCTTAGACTTTTGGTTGCACTATTAGATAAAGTTGATCGTTGAATATAAGTACTAAATGTAGAGTTATTCATCTCAATATACAGACTACTTAATTAGCCATCACATGAAAAACGATGACCAATACAAAAACAAAAATGTATGGCTTTATTTCAGTAGTCTAATTTTGTTAGACTGATTTTCAGTGGTTTACCATATTTACAATTTCCGCCTGTAGCTCTTCCAGAGTTACTGCCGGTCCCAAGCCCTGGTAAAGGAGGAGGATTGGGCATGGGGTTAGCGTCCCCATCCCGTAGAAACCTAACTCGCTAAAAAAACGCTAACCAGAAAAAATAACTCAAACCATTTAAACTCTGCCCTGGGAGTTAGAGGTAATATGACGCTTCATGGTGAAAGCCGAGTTCCTTCGGAAGCCACGAGGCCGATGCCCCTTCTAACAACCAGAGCAACAATTTTTATAGGTACATGGAACGTCCGGACAATGTGGGAGAACGGGAAGACCAGTCAAATAGCAACGGAAATGAGGAGATACAACTTGGCAGTACTGGGAATCAGTGAAACCCATTGGACCCAAGCTGGACAACAAAGGCTAAATACGGGAGAGATGCTGCTATACTCCGGTCACGAAGAGGAAAATGCTCCACACACTCAGGGAGTTGCTCTAATGCTATCCAAAGTAGCACGAAATGCACTTGTAGGATGGGAATCTCACGGATCCAGAATCATCAAAGCATCATTCAAAACAAAGAAGGAGGGGATCACAATGAACATTATTCAATGTTATGCACCCACGAATGATAGCAATGACGACGTTAAAGATCAATTCTATGAGAGGCTGCAATCAATCATAGAGAAGTGCTCAAGAAAGAACCTCACCATTCTGATGGGAGATCTAAACGCCAAAGTCGGAATAGACAACACCGGATACGAAGATATCATGAGACTACATGGACTGGGGTAGAGAAACGAAAACGGGGAAAGATTCGCAAATCTGTGTGCATTCAACAAATTGGTCATAGGCGGCAAAATATTTCCACACAAACGTATGCACAAAGCTACATGGATCTCACCGGACCACTCCACTGAGAACCAGATAGATCATATTTGCATCAATAAAAAGTTCCGAAGGACAATGGAAGATGTGAAAACCAGGAGAGGAGCGGACATAGCTTCAGATCATCACTTGGTTGTGGCCAAACTGAAACTGAAGCTAAAGAAGAACTGGACAACTGGACAAATAGCACCGCAAAGGTTTAATACAGCCTTCCTTTGAGATACTGACAAACTCAATGAATTCAAGATAGCTCTCAAAGTAGGTTCCAAGCCCTACAGGATCTACTGAAGGAAGAAGAAACTACTATGGAGGATAGCTGGAAAGGTATCAAAGAAACATTAACTTCAACGTGTCAAGAGGTTCTGGGCCCCAAGAAGCATCATCACAAGGAATGGATCTCTACAGAAACACTGGACAGGATCAAAGAAAGAAAGAACAAGAAGACAGCAATTAACAACAGTCGAACAAGAGCAGAGAAAGTCCAAGCACAAGCAGAGTACATAGAAGCAAACAAGAAAGTGAAGAAGAGCATTAGAGCTGATAAGCAAAAATACGTGGAAGAACTAGCAACGACGGCGGAAAAAGCTGCAAGAGAAGGAAATATGAGACAGCTTTACGATACGACGAAGAAGCTTGCAGGGAAATACAGTAAACCAGAGAGACCAGTCAAAGACAAAGAAGGAAGACCAATCACTGAGATTCAACAACAGCGCAACAGATGGGCAGAGTACTTCGAGGAACTCCTGAACAGGCCGGCTCCAATGAATCCACCGGACATCGAAGCAGCACACACAGATCTTCCTATAGATGTCAATCCACCAACGACAGAAGAAATCAGAATGGTCGTCAGACAAATCAAGAGCGGGAAAGCAGCAGGACCTGACAATATACCAGCTGAAGCGTTGAAGTCAGACATCGAAGTAACTACAAGCATGCTTCATCTTCTATTCAAGAAGATTTGGGAGGAGGAACAAGTGCCGATGGATTGGAAAGAAGGACACCTCATCAAGATTCCAAAGAAAGGAGATCTGAGCAAGTGTGAAAACTACAGAGGCATTACACTACTGTCAATACCAGGAAAAGTCGTTAACAGAGTGTTACTGAACAGGATGAAAGACGCAGTAGACGCTCAACTTCGAGATCAACAAGCTGGATTCCGTAAGGACCGGTCGTGCACAGACCAGATTGCGACACTACGGATCATCGTCGAACAATCAATTGAGTGGAACTCGTCACTGTACGTCAACTTCATTGATTATGAGAAGGCATTTGACAGTGTAGATAGGAGAACGTTATGGAAACTTCTTCGACACTACGGAGTTCCTGAGAAGATTGTCAACATTATCCGGAATTCATACGATGGACTACAGTGCAAAGTAGTGCATGGAGGACAGCTGACAGACGCATTCCAAGTAAGGACCGGAGTAAGACAAGGCTGTTTACTCTCTCCCTTCCTGTTTCTTCTGGTGGTCGACTGGATTATGAAGACCTCGACATCTGAGGGAAACTACGGCATACGATGGACAGCTCAGAACCAATTAGACGACTTGGACTTCGCAGATGACCTAGCCCTCCTATCACGTACACACGAACAAATGCAGATAAAGACAGCCAGCATAGCAGCAGTCTCTGCATCAGTAGGCCTCAACATACACAAAGGGAAAACCAAGGTCCTCAAACACAACACAGAGAACAACAATCCAATCACTCTTGATGGCGAAACTCTGGAAGATGTGGAATCCTTCACCTACCTGGGAAGCATCGTCGATAAACAAGGAGGTTCAGATGCAGACGTCAAGGCGAGGATTGGCAAAGCTAGAGCGGCATTCCTTCAACTGAAGAACATATGGAACTCAAAACAACTTTCAACCAATATCAAAGTCAGAATCTTCAATACGAACGTCAGGGCAGTTCTACTGTACGGAGCTGAAACTTGGAGAACTACAACAACCACCATCAAGAAGGTACAGGTATTTATTAATAGCTGTCTACGCATGATACTCAACATCCATTGGCCGGATACCATCAGCAACAGCCTTTTGTGGGAGAGAACCAACCAGCTTCCAGCTGAAGAGGAAATTAGGAAAAGACGATGGAAATGGATAGGACATACATTGAGGAAATCATCAAACTGCATTACGAGACAAGCGCTAACTTGGAATCCTGAAGGGAAGCGGAAAAGAGGAAGGCCAAAGAACACATTACGTCGGGAAATAGAAGCAGATATGAAAAAGATGAATAAGAACTGGAAAGAGCTTGAAAGGATTGGTTGGGACAGGGTTGGATGGAGAATGCTGGTGAGCGGCCTATGCTCCTTCACGAGGAGTAACAGGCGTAAGTAAGTAAGTAAGTAAGTTGCCACTGTTAGGAATGGAACTAGGTATCTATAAAACATATTTTGGTTGTGACTACTCGTTTTATTTTGATTAATTCAAACAACGTCATTCTACGCGTAGTCATTATTTTTCTGGAGTTTTGTTGTTGCTTTCGAAATTATCGTACTTGCAATTCACGTCTAGGTGTTTATATGTTATCTTCCAAAGGCTTTGTATTCAGTTTGTTGGCAAACTGTTTCGTGTCATACGGCTATCCGAAGCCGTGTTATTTCCATTAAAACTTCGGTCAAACGACTGAATTACGTCCTCAAAATAAAAAAAGAAGTATTTGTCTAGAATGTGGTACTCCTATTGCTACGGAAATATATCTATAAACCCCAGTTGGCGCTTATTGCGCCAGTATATAATCAAAGGAAAATCGTTTCTTGTAATAGGCATACAGAAATTCTTTTCAAAAAATATAATAGGCCACATAACAGTTATGTTCAAAACCACAATGCCAGAAAGCGGTTAAAATGGGGTTAAGGATTGGCGCCAGACCGTAGGTCCTAGGTTCGACTCCCGCCTGCGGGGTCGTGGTTGGACACTGCTGAAGAGCACTATACTGGGCCGAAGAGGGTGTCCAGTGCTTCCAGGTTTTTAATGGTGGTCTAACATTGATCAGTTCATGATCTCATACAAACTCAATCTCCACAACTTTATTCTGACAACTTACTAACAGTTCAACGAATGCAAGAAAAATGAAATTACTTATTACAAATATTAAGAAGTTTCAATTACAATAATAAGTAAGTTTAATGTTAAAAATTCATAAAAACAGCTATCAATACTACTGAACAATCGGAGGATGTTACTCGCGAAATGCTCAAAATAACCAAAAGTGAAGTTGGTTACTAAATGTTAATAAGTAGCATAATGTAACATACAAAAGGTAATCTAATTTGGAAGAAATGGAAATAGAAAGATCAAACAAAACTAATATACGGTTTTGAGGAGGAGGATATTAAAAGTTTATAAGGGTTTAATTACCAATGCTTAAAAATTTACCTCGTGCCTAATGAGATCACTCAAAGTAAAACAGTTCTGAGATTTAGGTTTAAGGTGTTCAGTACAGAAAAAAATCAATTTAAGAAGTTATGAGTATTCAGAAACTGATATAAGTGCTTGTTTTTGGACGTCGTCATTGTTAATTTTTAGAACTGTATTGATCATTTTATGTTGGGATGTAGACTTTTTGAACTAATCCCTTAATATTGCTGAGGTTTGGATGTAGGCTTCCAGAAAATATTTCTTACTGGATGGATTTTATGAAATATACTGAAGATTTTAAATTTACGCTTGTATAAATACAAGTTTGTCTTGGTATTTCTTTTATTGGCTTGACATCTTTCTGTAGTTATCGATAATGATGATAAGTACTATTATTATATATGTATTTGACTTTTTTGTATTGTTTTCTTTACATTCAGATAGTGTTTAATTCAAATCGTCATAAACTACAAAGTTTATGCATTCACGATATTTTCCGTCTGTATACAATCCTTTGTGGTTCATCCAATTTTAGTTTATCATATTTAGTTTCAGCCAATCCACATATTCGATTTATTGAATGTTCATCTTATATGAACTCATCATCTACATCATCGTATCATTCTCTTCCTTTTGTAAGATCATCAAAACTTTGTAATTGTCATACATCTTATCAAACACATCATCACTGTAAAATTAGTTTATTAAGTCTTGTACAATTTGGTGAAGTAAATGGTTTAATAAGACGAATTCAATGTTATCCTATAAGCGATAAACTAGAATTATCTACTGAACAACAAATTAAATATCGGATGTCATCAAAAGAAACAATTCCTGCAATAATGACAACAACTACGACAACTGTTACCACAACCAGTAGCACGAGTTCCAATACAAATATGCAACAACAATTAATACAATTTCAAACTAAAAATTCTTCATCTGTATTACGACACAATTCACGTAAACTTACTAAAAAACCACAAATAATTAATGAACAAACATGGTCTATTTCAAAATCCCTACTAATGGATGGTCAGCATAGTTTAGATTCAATCATTACATTTTTATTAACAAACAATGGTAATACAACAAAATATTCTTCATCTGGTTATAAAGTACCAGAATATATTAGTGACTTATTAAATTTATATCGTTTTGATGAAGAATGTCTTACTAGACAAATATCTTATTGTGATCGTGATTTATCTTCGTTTAATAGAACTAAAACTTCTAGTAGTTTCAGTTTTAGTCCTGATGAAACTAATTTTACCATTCATAACAATAATAGTCAAACTGTTGAAGAAGTTATTGTACATGATCGAATATGGTCTAAGCCAGAAAATAATATGACAACATTTGTAGAACCATTAAATTTGGATAAGATTAACTTTATATTACCGGATCTTTATTGGATGTGGCGTTGAAATGATTGATTTTTTCTTAACTTCTCACTTTTTCTTATATTAAATTTCTTACTTTATCAATCTATTCCTGTCTGACATTTATTTATTGATTTATTTCAACAATGTGATGGTGTACAGTGTAAAGTTATAAAATGAATTAATGTTAATATTTGGTTTCATTTACTCTTATGTAGCTATTATTAAGATTTTGTTGCTTAATAAGATTATCTTACCCAATTGTTATCCGTTGATTTTTATACTAACCTCTGTTTTGATTTATTTATTCAATGAAAACCTTGGCCCTAATTCCCTTAATGGGTAATCCCTCACTTAAAAACCTTTATCTTTAAATTATCTTGATTAACTCTTTTGTGTAATAATTTTAAATATGGAATCTTATTAAAGAACTCGTAATAACTTAATTAAATATGTATTCTAGTATTAATTATAAAGCCTATTGTAGAACTATAACAAAATGCTGATTGAAAAGAAGTATCTCTTTGCCCAATCTATGCATATCGATATTTGTTTCAATTTATCATTCTTAAATGATTTTAACTTTTGATATTTTGTACAAATTATGAAAATATACACCTTTCTTATGTACAGCTATACTCATGAATTCGTTTTTTAGGGGGGGGGAGGGAGTTTCTTGTCCATTTTATTCTGAACGATATAGAATCAGTTATTTTTTCTTTGTAATAACTTCCACAAACCTTTGTAAATAGTGTAGTCATTTTTGTTATTTCTGGTCCATTTTTAACTAAACAAGGATTTATGTCAACTGCACGCTTATGTAAGAAACCATACAACTTATTTTGAAGCTAATTAGAAATCCCTTAGTAGTTCATATATCTTGTATCTTTGTCTATCAATTTTTAAAGATTGAAACATGATAGCATTAGAATTCTTAAGTAAAACTTATAAAAGGGGACACTATATCACTCATGTTTAGTGATCATATACTACCCGGAATCAGCTGAAGTTGAAAATAAAGACGATTAGACACCGAATTGGTGGTCTAGAGACAACATAGTCACAGCACAACCTAAAGTTCTCTTGCTAAAACAAAACAGTCCAATCCTCTGCATTTTTCAACAGGTGTTTAACTAAAGTTTGTTGGTAATGTGAACTGTCTTCAGCTATTTTATCTTCGTTTATTTTCAATAAACCAAACGCATAATTTTAAGTGTATGCTTAAAAATGTTCCGCGAGAGATGATTTGCGGTGGAGAAATTTGAACTTTAGTATTAATTATTTAACACTAAGCATTTATTGAACGTTAACTAATATTATGTTACATGGTACTTTTCGGTTGTCGGTATTTATGTATCAAGTTGCGATTCAGTCACCAGACTAAGTAAATAGACAATGTGACCCATATAGTTGAATGCTATGATATCTGACTGAAGCACTGGGTGACTCGGTCTCGAATCACATAAAAAGTATTGGTTTCCTTAAGATTGTAGACGTGCCTTGCAGACACGGAAACTAGTAAGGAATATTAGTTCAGGGTTTCTTCATAAATAGCTCCAAGCAATTAAAAGTCGCGAGGTTTCTGGAAAACTAGGCACTTAGTTAAATAACTACTGAAAAACAAAAGATTGGCATTTAGCTTTATATTTACATCTTGCTCACCAACAAAACCATTCTTCAAAATCCAAGCTTTCATATAATCGCTTGAATAGTTTTGCTTCAAATCTGGATACAATAAATTTATGTATTGAACTATTAATTAGTTCTGTCGGATATTGTTTTATCATATACCACCCGTCTAAATAAGTTAATGGAAACGAAGCTTATTTTAAATCCTTATGTGAATACTTAGGGATCATTTGGAGGTGATCATTGAATTTTAAATTTATCTACAAATGAATTAAGCAACTCAGTCTAAATCATAATTAGTTTATTAATTGTAAACTAAGTTTTAAAAGATTGTTACATGATAACTAGATGTAAAATATCCAACTTACGGTTTATTTCTTTTTTTGAAAACTAGATCATTTTAAGTTGCTTCAGAGTAAACAGCCCAAGTTGTGCTCATTTCTTCGACATTGATCAAATCGAATACACAAATGTAATCTTTTATCGAAGACATGAACACAGCTGAAGTTGAGTTTAACTCTTTAACTAGAATTCATTAATTGAAAAGACAACGATAAATTCGATTTAAGTAAAATATTAAGTTACAAATGAAATAATGAAAGTTGAATTATCTCATTCAATTTATATATACACATATCACCATAATGATTGGTTAGTGAAGTTAATTATTAATTACATCATTGAACTCAGGCATTTGACCCCAAAGTGTAGTGAAACAGAAAAAAATAACGAACTCAAATTTATCACATAATTTCTACAGTGACAAAGTCTATGACATAATTTTAATTACCACGTTTTCGCATATATCTTTAGCTCTATGTGTATATATGTCTGCTTGTCATCGTAATTGACAGTATAGACAAAGATGTCTATTATTCTCTTAACTATTACAGTGCATGATTCTTTATGACATTTTAATTATTTGAATTATACTGTTAATTGTATTGATAGTGATCTAATCAAAATGAACATGGTGCATGATCGATTGAATTCGGTGCAGTAATCACTATTTTAAAGCAAGTCACAAGCGAAATTTCACAGGGCACAAACGTGTGTGTATGTAAAAAGAGTTCATCGTCATATGATATATATATATATATATATATATATATATATATATATATATATATATATATATATATATATAAATTGTAAAGAGCTATGGTCCAAAAGCAGCTTATATGGCCAGACTCGTACATTTTATTTGAAAAAAGTGTAAATAATAAAATTTTACATGTATATATATATATATATATATATATATATATATATATATATATATATATATATATATATATATATATATAGAATGACACAACATGGTAGATCATTTCGATTGTATAACTAGTCGATTCAGTAGTTGTAATGTTGTTATTGATAGTGATGAGCATTATAAAAATAAATGTTGTTGTAAACATGGTTTATTTTAATAAAAATACAATGATGATTTCGTGCTGTCTACTTGCAATCAGATTGCTTTGAATCATTGTTTTAATTTATAGGTTCTAGTGACAGAAAGCTTGAATAATAATAGTAATAATGGCAATTATTATTATTTCCCTTTTTTAGAAGGAATTCAAGACCTTCAGGATAGAGTATCTAGGTTGAGCTGTTTCCAATGTCGATTAATCCATAATAATACTCACTGATTATTTATTGCCGATCGGTGATATTCGCTCTATATGTTTGAACTTCACCAAAACTTAGAGAGTCTTTCTGAAAGCTAGTAACGATAATGTATTATGTTCTGTAACACTTAAAATGAAAATTCTTTCAAAGCAAATTAGACGCCAGTTTTGAATTTTTTTTAGAGGCAAATATTTAAAATAAGAGAACATTTAATTTCAGAGAATTGATATAAGGTTTAAGTTTGGGTTTATGGTAATAACATCATAGCCTTATAATTTTGCATGTATCTGAAATATATATTACCTAATAAATCCTAGTCCATACATCCGTTCAAGTAACTACAATTCATAGAATATATCTTTACTAAAGTCTCTATTCTCTGTTTGGCTTTAATTAGAAGTAATTATTTTGTACAAGACCTATTCTTACGTATAAACGGAACCATTATTAAAAAATTACTAAGTGTAGAATAGTTGTCTCGTTTAGTCTTGATTAAACAGTCAATATTTACATAACTAATTCCATATTCCACCAATGAGTTTTAAGCACCACATGAAACCGGTTAACATTTTAAATAACAGACTTGACATGATCTGTCAATTTCTTCAACCATAAACAACTTGTGCTATGGTAAGACTGATAGTACAGAGATATTCCTGTCACAATCATTTTCAATTACAGTGTAGATTCAGGAAGCTGGTAAGCTGTATATTAAGCTGATATTTTGATTAAAAACTATCAGAAATAAGGCATTCACTATAATTTTAAAATCGTGAAATTAAGAATTTGTACTAATTATAATAAACTGTGAAATTGTCAGAAACATAATTAACATTTCGGTATATATATATATATATATATATATATATATATATATATATATATATACTTACTTACTTACTTACTTACGCCTGTTACTCCCAATGGAGCATAGGCCGCCGACCAGCATTCTCCAACCCACTCTGTCCTGGGCCTTCTTTTCTAGTTCCATCCAATTCTTGTTCATTTTTCTCATATCTATCTCCATTTCCCGGCGTAATGTATTCTTTGGTCTTCCTCTCCTCCTTCGACCTTGAGGATTCCATATGAGGGCTTGTCTTGTGACGCAGTTGGGTGTTTTCCTCAATGTGTGTCCTATCCACTTCCAGCGCTTCTTCCTGATTTCTTCCTCCACTGGGATCTGATTTGTTCTCTCCCACAGTAGGTTGCTGCTTATAGTGTCCGGCCAGCGGATCTGAAGTATTTTGCGTAGACAACTGTTAATAAACACCTGTATCTTTTGGACGATATATATATATATATATATATATATATATATATATATATATATATCGGTCATACATAGATCAAATCGCAACAATACGTATCATCGTTGAACAATCAATTGAATGGAACTCGTCACTATACATCAACTTTCTTGACTATGAGAAGGCGTTAGTGTGAATAGGAGAACCTAATTGAACATACTTCGACACTATGGTGTGCTTGAAAAAATCGTCAGCATCTTAAGGAATTCATGCTCTATTCCTTTCTCTTTTTTCTAGTAGTTGACTGAATTATGAAGACCTCGACATTTGAGGGGAAGCATGGGATGTAATGAGCTAGCTGGATGCAGCTAGACGATTTGGACTTCACAGATGGGCTAGCTCTTCTAACCCATACACACGAACAAATGCAGATCAAGACAAACACTGTAGCATCACCCTCTGTATCAGTAGGCCGCGACATACACAATTTGAGGATCGGCAAAGCAAGGACATCATTCCTACAGTTGAAGAACATATGGA